AATGAAAGAAGAGACATTACAACTAACCCAGGTTCTAGTGGGGGAAGAGACTCCAAATTCAAATATAGTTTAAAGAGATCTCTTTTATTAAGTCTAGAACAGGACAAAGACAAGATAAAGACAAAAAGGAATCATCTAAATGAGAGAGATGATCAACCCAAGGCCATATTATAACCACAGGATTCAAACCCATGTAGCTCCTTAGATTGACTACAGAAAGCAAAGGAAATCATCACAAACTCATGATTGGCAGTAGATCATCACAGTCAAAGGGGGGTCGGTGGAGTGGGAAAGGGAACATGATGTGATACATACACTATTGCATATTAGAAAAATTTATAGGATTGGTTCTAGGGCAGTGGTTCTCAACCTGTGGGTTACGACCCCTTTGGGAGTCAAACGACCCTTTCACAAGGGTTGCCTGAGACCATTAAAAAAACACATAATTCCAATGGTTTTAAGAACTGAGAACGCTCCTCTATCCACCTCCAGGCGAATCTGCCCACATGCAGATACACCCACATATGAGTACCCATATGCGATGATGTCATCACACCATACCCATCACATACACATACAAATACAGGTGTATCTGACGGGGTTGGTGTCATAATGTGCTTATGCAGACCAGTCACACATGTGTAGAGAGCAGCTACTGTGTTGAGAGCAGCTACTCTGTTAAAAGCAGCTACTGTGTGGAAAGCAGCAGTATTGGAGGTAAAATGACACTTCGTGAATTATAATTACTGGGTAAATGTAAAATCATGTACTGTAAAATCATCAACTACTGCTACTACAAAAAATATCTTTACCATGGGAACTTAATGGGTCTTTTTATATTGAGCAGTGGTTGATGTGAATACTTCCCCCTTGTGATAGTAACAGGTATGTAAAAGAAACAATACAGAGACTGGTAAATTATAGGAAATGAACTGTATTGACTGAACTGTGCCATGTATCATCTTTTGTATTATTAAAGCTATTGTTACATATTATTTTCATTAACAAACCATCCCATGACAATGGATAGTGTAGAGAAGAACGTTAAGAAAAGAAAATATAGCGAGGGTTTTTTACAATATTGTTTTACCGCAATAACTACAGCAGGACTTGAGAAACCGCAATGTGTTATTTGTTGTGAAGGTCTATCAGCTGAATCTGTGAAGCCAAACAAACTAAAACACCATTTTGATAGCAAGCATCCAAGCTTT